TAGATTTTTAAACTTTTCAAGAGGATGACTGATGGTTAGTACAAAAAAAGTGAAAGGTCTATGTCGAGGAACTATTTTGGTATTCCTGTTATTCACAGTAAGCCAACTTGAGTTTCAAATAATAATAAAGACAAAATAATAAGAGCCATTGAGGTGAGTTTCTATTTATAATCAGTTTAATTTTTGCAGGCACAAGATGACGGGCCTTCTACGACAAATGAATAAAACAAAGGAGCCTAAAAATAGTAGACTCGATTTCTCGATTGATTATATAGAGAAATCCATATTAAGGCTAAGCTCTATTTGTACCGTGCATTTATAGATCGATGCTTGAAGCTGTAAAGGACATACTCGATGGTAGAAGAGAGTGTGTGTCAACCACCAAAATTATTGATCGAGTAACGATTGACCAACGCAAGCAAATCGTCAAAGGACCCTGGCAGCACATCATTATTGATGACAACTTGTATCTTAGGAGCATGCGCCACTGTTGGTTCCAAGCGGCCAAAGCTCGTGAGTTTATAGATTAATTTGGGTGCCATCTTTGTTGGTTTCACATCTCCTCTTGATCTTACGATAAAAGATTACTCATTTTTGTAGATACTGATCGCACCATTATGCATGTGTGATCAAAGATTCCCGATTTTAATAAAAATTGGAATGATGTTAAAAGAAAAAAACATAATCAGCTAGTGCAAAGAAGGCATCGATTAAAACAGCCTATTTGTAAGTGCACTGTACATTAAAGGAAGCAGAAGTCGGCAGGTACAAATAAGATCCATAACTGTGAACGTAGTTTTTCTTTGTCCTAACGGCAAAATAATTTGCTAATGCCTCAAATGCGACTGATTAGTATTTCGAGAATTTAGCACGTTAACGGACAGCCCTAAAGACTGTGTAAAACCAACAATAGGAAAAACATGGAAATAAATCGCTTATATATAAAAAAATTTAACTACTTGACATGATCGATATAAGCGAATACTTTTCTTGTGCAGCCTAGACTCAAAATGCTATCCAAAATCACCTTGTATTTCATTGTTGTTTTTTGTTAGATTCAGGTCATCTAAAAATAGAAAAATAAATTATTTTTCAGGAGGAATATCATTGTGTAATGTTTATGTGACGGCATCTCTCGAGGAGTGCCTGGATCGAAATCGGCTGAGGCCATTTCCAGTTCCTGAAAATGTCATCATCAACCAATTTCGAAAAATGGAGCCACCTATTGCCGAAGCAAGTCAAGCGGAGAAATTTTCACTCTCTCTCAAAACATCGAATTTTTCAATGTACATCAACACGGCCGAAGTAATAATTTAACAGCAAGATTGCAAATGTATTGTATTTTTGATTGCTGTAATTTATTTACATTTCTATTGGAATTACTAATGCCTAGGGTGGTGGGCTATCTAATCTGTGCAGGCTGTTTTTACTTAACAGGGAATCCCGTTATCTTGTATGTCATAATTGTTTTCAAGAATTATAAAGCTGTATATCTTCTTTCGGTTCGTCTAACTTGCAGCGTGTAAGCTGAGTTGGATGAATTTACAGGCGCCGGGGCGCGAAAATATATAAAAGATATATTAATAAAACAGTTTCTATACAACTCATCATCTATCGTAAATACAATAAAACAAAAACACCAACAATTAGCACAATATTTAGTACTAATTTTCATCATTTATTGTCGTGTGAAAATGAACTAATGAGCAATGCATTACTACCTGTCGGTGACAATGATTGACAAGCGTAATGGGATAATTCGTATTTCAGCGCCTTCTAACCTTAATCGCGGCAGCCAGATTATGTCCGCTTGTCCCGCAAGACGTTGAACGTACTCAAAGTGTAGCGGAGTCTTCGCGGCGAGTTACCCGCGAGTCAAAGTCGCACAATCTCGATCTCGCTTTCAGAAAAGCCGTCACTGGACTCATAAAAAACGGTACTACATAACGATATCATCACTATTGCTATTGATGCGAAATTAATAAACACTCCTCGCCCAATTATAAGACAATATAATAGGTTGTTTTTAATTTGAATCATTCGGCACTTCGAAGCAAATTGGTTTTCTTTTCTGCTGCCTTTTTTTTTACCTATTTTATTTTACCTACTTTTTTTCTAGATCTAAAAGCATGTCAGGCAAAGATTAGTCATTGGATAGACGCCACTCAAGCAAAGGTCGGAACTGTAGCGGAGGAATGTTGCGCTACCTCTAACACGATAATAAATCTATCAGTGGCCAAAACAAGCCCACAGATTTTTAGAAAAAAAAAAAAGCGCCTTGGTAAGAATAGAATAGACGAGTTAATAAAGAGCTCGTTAGTTCGCAAGAGAATTCGTGAAATCAACAAGCATTGCTTTGTGATTAGCTAGCATCTTTAAAATTGGTTGCAATATACTTATTCTAGTTACTTTATTAGCACCTCCTTTGATCGAGCGGTTTTATAAGCATCTTTTACTACAGTATAATAATTTGTTGAGCTTTCCAGTTCGAATATTGTTTCACATTTTTCAACGGGTCTACATTTTTGCTCACTTTATACAGTATATATATACGGTACTTTCACCTTGGATTTTGAAACGATTTTAAGGAACAGCTGACCAGTCAAAGACGTTATCGTTAGAATGACTATATGGTAAACATTTATGCTCATTGAGTCACTTTGTTATAGTTTATTTTTGCACTCTAAGCCCTAATGTGAATATATGCATTTTTTCTCAACTATGAAAATGCGATAACAACGCGTACGACAATGTGTCAGAATTGAATAGGGTCGGATGAGATTTTTTTGCCTTCAATTATGGCGCAAATCTTGGGCTTGCTTATGGATAAGTCGATTACTCGCCAAGTGTCAATGAAAAGTTTTGTTATATGGCTGAACTTCAGTATTCTAAGAAGATCATCTGACTCAGAATTCACTTCATATACATGTCAATGTTCTTCTTGTACTCTACTATTAAATTGCGTTTGCTTCGTTTTCAGAACCGTGTTGCCGTAAAAAACAACAAATATGGGCTCGCTCAATGTCCTTCAAGGCAGATGTGTTGAGTGCGCCTAATTTACAAACATTGAGCTCCCAGCTACGAACTGCATTGGATGGCCAGCGGAATGATCTTAAAATTGAATTACAAACGACGATTGCTGCAACTCTTACGGATAAACTGTCGTTACAGCCCATGGCATAGGGTTACGGAAATGTCTAGTTGCACTGTCCGTCTGCATTATACATATGTGTATGTACACAATACATATGAAATACTGAAGTATTTGTTTTTTATTTTACATAAATCTAACTATTTTAGGAACCGCTAAATTCATATCATAATTAGCAAAACTGTTCTTCCGAGTCTCGAGTGTATTAAATTAACAAAATAGATTTACAGTGTCTACATTATTGCGCACTGGGAAATTTATATATCCCATCTAGGCCTACAGTTTCTTTAGGTGATTCTATGGTCAACGCGATTTTGACCATTTTTGTGAATGAAACCTTGTCATATATACAAGCGCTTGAGCTTTTTTTAAATAGAGTTATAAAAGCCTAAGTTAAAAAAAGTTATATAGCCTACAGTGGCTATATAATAGCGTGTACCAAAAAAACAAAAAAAAAATTGAAGCTTTCAGTAGAGCTTATATAGTCTTCCTTTTTAATTTTATACTCATTAGAATCAAATCATTCGTAAAAACCTTATAACCTTAACAGCATGCAATACTTAGGAAGAGCGCATTCCACTTTTGTAGGTCTGCTCTGGGCTTCTATAGTAATAAAAATTGTGTTTGTACACTTAATTTTCTTCTGAGAGTTTAATAGCAGTTAAGCAAATGTCCTAATAGTTGCAGTGATTAAACTAACTGATGCTATTGTTTTCGTTTTCTTTCGAAAATGCCTCATGCCGCAGATGTGTATCTTACGACCTTATCTATCGCTATAGAAATATATACTACATAATAATAGTTTAGCTTTCGTGCGACATCTGTAAGTAAAGCCGCACTGTCGGTGTATAAAGGTATATAGGCAGAGCAAGTATAGTTCTCCTATCGTTTGTACGTCCTGAGAGAGACTGCTTTTTGATGTAGGCTTTGTATGACACATTTACGTTGCTACCTGTCATGATGTCATCCTTAGCAGAACAGCAAAGCAAACACATTTACTCTTAATAGTTGACATATTCTATAGCTTTCATAGTAAATAATCCGCCGGGTTCGGAAATTTTCATTTGACGAGCAATTCAATGTATGCCAGCGCATTATCCTACGTAAACATTTTACTATAGTTTCTAGTGGTTCTTGTCGCTTTCGTAGCTATTGGACACGCACCAAGTTTCCATATACGTGACCTTGGCGTACACGCAACGGGTTGATTATTGGAACGCCAAAGATTCGAGGATCAAGCCGAAACTGCTAGCTGAGAGCAATTTAGGGTGGACAAAGGATCTAAGCTGCATGCTGGTTGCCTGCCAGTTATGATTACGACTTATTTAGAAAAAACATGAAATACAAAAATGCGTTTTACTATACTTTTTTGTAGAATGTTAAGAGTGAAAAATGAAAAAAAATTAGTCCAATTCCTCAAACAGGTGAGAAATATCTTCTTTTTTCTTGCTTTACGTTTTTGTTGAGTATCGCGAAATGTTTAAAGTTCGAAACATCAGCTTTATCCCACTTGATAACAAAAATCCTGTACATCTTATCATCGTTTAGGAGAACTATTTTTAACGACTTCACTTTTTTCTAATGATGACTCAAGCTCAAATCGACTAAATAATCTTTTTTTTTTTTATCCACTATGATTGCGATTAGTACTTAATAAACTAATACAATGTATCCTTTTTCATTATTGATATAACCAACTTTTAGTGGTTGGATTCTACTGTACGTTTCACATATACACATGCAAGTGTATTTTTATATAGGCAAGTAGCGATCATAGTTGAGGTGCCATAACGTTGATACTTGTAGACAGAGTAGAGCGATAAAAAAAACTAACTTTGTCAAATTGAACTTACTTCCTTAATTAAAGGCAAAATTAGGCTATGAGAATATACCGTCAAATAGCTGTCACTGCCAACGCCGATAATTTTATCAATTTTTTTGTATTTCTAATAAAATTTAGTAACTGCATTATTTATTTCTTATTATGTTCACTAGAGATACAACTACAAGTGAGGAAAATATCGCGGTTTTGCCTTGATTGTCTTTACTCTGCTTAAACATTTTAATTAATTATAAAACAGAGATTTATGGGAAATCTCCCGTGCCACCACAGCACGTTTATTCTAAGCACTGTGAGTCATGTAAGTAACCGGACTATTCCAAATCGGAAGATGATCGAAAAGTGATGTCTTTTTTGAAGACTTCTAGGATTTTGCGAAGTTTTTTTTTCAAGACGGAGGAAGAATCTTTTCCATATAAGTAAACATCGCGAATGATCTAGTATTATCGGAGAATACGTAAAATACAAACATGGTACGGAGCCCATTCTTAATGTAAACGAACAGTAATTAATTTCATACTTATTTCATAGATATTGCACTGAGAGGTGAAGAACGACGAAAAGATGCACAGACAGGTGGCAAGAATTGTTCGAGAGTTGCAAGACCAAATTTGTGCCCTACAAACGCCGCTGTTAGGTAAGCAACCAGTAAATAGGTAGATAAACGCTACTCTAGTTTTCGAAAAAGAAAAAAAGTCATTATTATTACTTTAAATCACAGTCGTCATAAAGCACTAACACTAATATGCGTTTGAGAAACCCATCAGGGTTATGCAATAATTCAAACTACGCTGTTAGAAACTCTGCGGTTGTTTCAGGCCAACAATAATCCATTCGATCAGTATAGGCGCGCTTTTCGTTGCAGAAAAATGATTGGACTCTAAGGTGGTCTATGGTCGATAATGGTTTACTGCGATATATTACTGATGAATGATGCTATCAATTCAAATATAGATGTGTTCCAAAATACTTGAAGACGCTGATACCTAGACGTCAGATGATAATGAATGCGCTAATGCGAGAGTGCGCAACGAATATTAGGGCAACATATATTGGGTCTCAAATGTGCGACTTGTCTGACTTGACCATAATGTGGCATTTGGTAACAAAAATGGGAATTTGATGCGCCTCTTATGTCGTACAGTGATGGCTAGACTAATCCAGGGTAGTCTTTTTTTAAGTACTTTGATCTTCTAACGGGTTTGGACTAAGTAACTATTTTAGCCCTGTGGTTGAAAATTGGTTTAATACGTACGTGATACGTTAGCATATTATTTTGACAAAACATTAAAACATTTCAGTTTTTGCAGAGCAATTAGCGGAAATAGGAAATAATTTTTGATTGAGCACCGGCTTGAGTGAACTTGTAACATAAACAACTGGCCGACACCCGCGCCTAGTTATGGGTATTACCAGTAGTTCATGACCACACTTATATATGGGCTCACATTGGATTCGCTAGACCAGGTCATCATCGGAGTCAGAAGACTTGATGTCACGCTTCAGTCGTGGTGGCGTAGCGCCGGTAACGAAGTAAAGTTTTTAAGACGTTACAAATTTTCTCTTAACTTACCTGCTACTTCAAGTTGGCGAAAATAGCTTTTCACAAATCTTGGGGCTTCGGTATTAAGACATTCTTGCATAGCTGGAACGTTATTGAAACTTTTGTTCGGCTTTAAGATGGGGCAATGAGTGTTAACTCTAATAAACATATGACGCACTTACATAGCGATCGCCTTTGAACAGCATGTCGCTATAATGACGATAAGAACTTCTAATTATACATACATTTCAGAACATCTGTAGCTTTGCTCGTCAGTCTAAGATATTTTACATTATGCAATATATATTTAGGTATTACAATTAGTAAATAGCAGATATGTTCACCTTTCTAGTCAGATGTTTGAAGTTCAAAACAGAGTCAAATGCTATAGCCTTTGTTTGTTTGTTGTCGAGATGAGCTGAATACATCTCTAGTTCTCAGGGCTCACGAAGACATCTTTTGAAACGAACGAAGTTGCCACTAAAGAAACGTTTCTAGTGTTACTCCCGCCTAAGCATCGTAGCTTCAGACAGCTGGCCCATCCTAGGAAGTGTGTATTTATAGTGCCCAGATTCGAAATAAATCAGGTTTCCTATGCAGAGCAGTACTGAGTGGGGCTTCAAATCTCTTGAGAATATGTTCATTAATAGATATGTTTACGTTTATTCAATTTGTGTACATAAAATAGAACCAATTACACTAGTCGTTTCTCATTATAAAATAAATCTACAAAGCGTCAAGTCAAGTAAGTTTCAATCTACTGAAGAGTGTAGCCGCACCGGGGATATATACAAGCAACATTGCGCAAGCTTATGCATATATATATATATATATATATATATATATATATATATACATGCATATATTCTTTTTCTGTTTTTATAATACGGCTATTTTGGAATACATGAAATACGATGATTATGGAAGGCGACAGTAACCAGTCTGGTTAAGGCCAACTATTTGATAAACCGAGCAACTGAGAGATTCACAGATGAAATAATTGCAAATAAACCGGCTATTATATTGACAACGGACGATAATGTTTCTCTGATGGTGTGCCCTGAGGGAAATGGAAGGCCAAACGAATGAGGACTTCTGTTCGACTGTTTAGGCTGTGGAGATATCGCGCATAGTCGCTTGCAGCCATAGAACAGTTATTGCAAATGCAAGTTCAAAGAACTCCATCATAAACGATTTTTAATTGATTGCATCTAAATCCTTTCATATTAAACACCTACAAGCAAATCTCGGGTACTAAGCTACCATTTGATGTTCGCTATTTATTTTCCTTTATTTATCAAACGGCAACACAGAAGAATAACGTAAAGGTCATCATTCAAGTAACGTGGTGTAGTCAACTGGATTTCCGATTCACCAAAAGCACGCCTCAACATGTGTGACAGTACAAATGGTATTTCGCTGAAGACTGAGATCCGTACTAAAGTTTTCAAGTGTGCCTATAGAAGCAGAAAACCTGTAGCTCTATTTGGAGACTTTAAAATTAAATTTGTCGATATAAACCGGTACGGAAGCTTAAATGATGTGTATTGTAAATTCATTTACCCTTATCTTGCAGATAAAATACTATACTGACATATTTTTGATACACTTCGACAGCCGTCTGACCTCGTTATGGAAACCCGTAAAATAATAGCAGAACGCGGTGCTATTCGAGTTTAAGGATAGTCTCAGACCCGTGACGCTATCGGCAGTCGATTATCGGTCAAATGTGTGACCGTGGTTGTTGTCAACTTCCGTCAACGGGACTTCAGTGTTTCCGAATAGATCCTTCCCATAATTTTACTAGTATAGTATCTACGCAAACAAACGCTTTTTGACGTAAACGAAAATTTAAGACACAATAAACACCTCATTATACATAGAACTATTCCTTGGAGGAAAGTGTATTGAAAGGGTCTTGAGTTCATGCTATCATCTCTACGATGACTTCTTTAGCCGCCGCCGTCACAACGATCAGCCACGTCGTTAGTGATGTTTGTTTTTTGATGCCTATATAGACATTTGTTATATTTTACTATTACAGAGCTAGTTCGGTAGATTGTATTGCATTTGCGCGAACGCCGCAAAAGTAACCCGATTATTATATCCTTTTTCAATATCACGACATGCCGTAGCGATAAGGAGGAGCTGCCCTTCGCGTAATTACTCGGTCCAAAGGCATTAGAATTCGTAAAAAGCGCTGCTGACACTCTGAGAACTGAAACTTGTCAATGCCGGGAATAACGTTTGCTGCAGTATCAAATAAAATTATTATTAAGAAAGTTCTCTGAGGCGGATAAGTCTAAGGTGAATTAATGAGGAAGGGGGAAGGAGATATGAGTTCGGAAAACTGTAATTTTCTTCTATCTATACTGCTGAGTTACTATATATATATATATATATATATATATATATATATAAATATATAGGCACGAATATGATTGACAGACCAGCAGTATCGTCGACGTGAATACACGACGTTATCGTTGTGTTTTCCATATACGTAGAGTCCCACAAAGTTGACGACGCAAGCATTACACAAGGTGTGTGAAACTAACAGATAAAAAATAGATTCTACAATGCAACTAACAGATCATATGTTAATATTTGCCTGCATCTTGTTCGAATTGTTAGTCGATATCAACAACAAAAATGTTGTTGGTTTACGATGTATTTCAACAAACCCTTACTGCGTACGTAATGTTTGATGCAAAATATAAGCTCAAAGGTGTTTCATTGATAGAGCGCCTGAATGTGAACACAAATGCTAGACTCTGACTAGTATATAAAAGATGGTAATGTATAAAGGGAACGTGTGATGTGTACAGTTATTGTTCAATAGAGGTCAAATGTAACGAATTTCGTTAATTTCTCGTTCTTATTACCATCTTTATGTTCTGTCTCCTATGGAATGGTAAATTACCTAGCAATAGTATATTGCTAATTAGACATTCACGTAAACAAAAACCCCAGAACTAAGCGCGATATGGGCTTTCAAATATCAAATGGGTTGGAAGCTCACCAAATCAGGCGCTGTTTATAGCAGCCGCTATGCAAGTCATACAAGGGCTTCATTCTGGATTTCACTGTGCTTCCGATAACTGATGTCACCCTAGGTTACCTAGTTACAAACCTAAAGTAAAGGTAATTGCTGTTTTTGTGAGAGCTGTGATGAGTCTAATTGAAATATGACGTCATTCTTATGATTCTATTTTAAACCATTTTATTATCTCATTGCTGTTGTTTATATTAGTGGCGCTGGTGCTGCTGTTGATGTGTTCACGTAAACATTAATTGAAAAATAATATGCTAACAAGTATGGTTACCTTTAATGATCGGGAGGAATATCTTCCATATTATTACTATCAGCGAATATCGATTCTGCCATCATCAATCGTCATCATCGATACATCGAATTCTGGATACTTCGTCTGTTCTTCGTTCCAGAGGTAAGCTGTGATTGGGCATGTCACCTAGTTATCAATATTTTCACTATTCTTAATCAATGCCCAGTATTTGCGGTGCCGTCCTTATGTACGCTGGCAATTGCAACCACATAAAGATACTTTTCTTCCTTCGCATCGGTTTAGCACATAGCAAGGGCTATTAACAAGCGCGTTAGGGAAATAGAGTCGCTGCATTGAGCGTCGAGATATCACACGCAGGTATTATCTATTGTTGTCAATCTGCTCAACCGCACGGCTATATAAGTCAAGGCAAAAGCTAACAACATCCATGTATATATACGTATATATAAAGCGTCTTTTTGCGCCTTCAACTTCTATGACACCCGCATAGAACGTGATTCTCTGGCTCTGAAGCTCATCATGTATAGCTTGTACAAAAAAATTAAATTTATTTTTCACAGTTTGATACACTAGACTAATTGAAATTCATTACCACTATTTTGGAACGACCAATCAGCTTCACCTTCCTATCAGTCCAACGGTGAGGATTTGACGGAGGCTATCAATCCATCACGCAAAGGAAGCGACGTCCACATATCTTTGTCACTCTCTGTTCAAAATTAAATCGTATCGGTATGACCCTTTACCTAATTAAAAAATACCTTGCACACGCAAGTATACGCAGATCCCTCCATGTCATCTAATAGCGGCATTATTACTCAACTTCACTGTCATTTGGCTTTTATTCTATGTACGGCCGACTCATAAAAAGTTACGAACGAACAACGTTTTTTGCTAAACCTCTTAACTTGTTTCGTTTTTCATGGTATATCAATACGAAATAGAACAACCGTATTACGAAATTATTATCAAGAAGACCACACGAAGCTTCTTCACATGACTGCTAACAGCATCATTTTGAAGAGCGCTACTCGTGTCGTCAATAGGCCATGAAATGTAAGCTTGTGCATATAGATACGCCATTGAAATGTACAACCATTAGAGAGGGATCAACAAATAGTTCTCCTTCCTTCTTTTATTACTTTTTTTTTTGTCACTCCCTTCTTTTACCCGTGAGGAAGGGCGACATTTACTCTACTACTGTGGTTTAATACGACTGGGTAACTCATCTTGTTGCTATTGTTGAACATTCATATGTATATATATATATATATATATATATATATATATATATATATATAATAGAACTGGTAATGCGCATTACTCTTATTTTACAAGCTGAAGAGCATGCAATCATCACTGACCGGCTAGCAGTTGTCTCGTGGCCTATTACATAACAGGTTGTTTTGTTTACAGTTTGTATCATGGACAGTTGCGGTATTCTGAAGGCTACTAACATGTGTCGAAGTGCTTGAGCTTTACTTAAAACTGTCCATCGCTGCTCCAGGTAACTACTTGCAAACAACAACAGGCAACGTACTGAATTGGTCTATTTGATCCGTATACAAGTCTCTTCAGCAGAGGATCAGTAGTAGACGTAATGTTATTTTTATATATATAATTTTCTCTCTTACTAGTTTCTGAGACAAGTTCTATAGATAGATTAACGCATCTTCGTACCATCTTCTACTGATATATGCATTCATATTGATGAATATATAGAAGTACATATATCTATGTACAAGTACAACGGGAGGCGAAGGAAATAAGTGAACAGATCCACGCATTTCACAGGCAAGGATCCGTGAACTCATTTTGTGTTATATATATGTACATGTGTGTTTGTATATCGCTCGATGTTGTTTCTTTTTCAGTAAGTATTGATCGAGCACTAAAATATGGAACGACGTATCATTTACAGGCGTATAGACAGACGCACTTTCTGTGTGCATTTACACAGAAAACCCCGTTCGAATAAAACCGCTGGTACGAAATGCCTCGAATGAGCAATTGGACAACGTTTACTTATTCAAGCATAAGCTAGACACGCACGTAGTAACTTTTGCTCTTTTATAAACAGAAAGCGTTTTTTTTTGTAACGTATGATTCAAACCATTTTTTCACAGTTTACCTCATATTTAATTTGGTTTTTTTTTTTTTTTTTTGATTAGCAGACGCAGATGTCGTATTTAATTTGATCCTAAACGAGATGATGGTACAAAATCGGCTGCCTAGAAGTGTCGGCGTAATCAACATGGCTGTTCATTAATACTTTCCCGAGAGGTGCCTACGTTTTATAACGCGGTGTGGCGCCATTTTACCGTTATCAAAATTTTGAGATGGGTAAGAACTAATTGCACCTCGTGCATCTATCTCACAAATACAACATTTTCCAGCCCTTCAACTAAGGCATCTTAGCCAACAATAGACAAAATATTCATTGTGATAAACAAGCACTAGTTAGTGTTTTCTATCACATAACTTTTACTATATCATACAATATCAATGTTATTCATTGGTAAGGCCATAACTTCCGAGCAAAGACTGTTTCTCCTGGTCCTAAAAATGGATACTACTCATGTTATAGTTAGATAATGGAACCTCCCGTGTGCCATATAAGTACGACTATAGTAAATGTCACTTCATTATTTGAGCGATAAATCAATATTTACACTGGAGTATTTTGTTTATTCCGCAAACCATAGTGTTACCGGGTTGCTGCTTTTACGAGTTAATTTATTAGCTAGTAATATATTTTCGGTGCCTTAGCCAGTACGGAAAATAAAAAGAAAACTGGTCTGCATTATTACTCTAATAAGTTCAATAAGTTAGCAAACATGAGCCTTGACGTATATAGACAAATGAAAAATATCTACACATGGACGCCACGTAAGATCATTTAGAAGGTTGGCTCATGAGGACATTTAGATTGTTCGAATCATATATATATATCGTATGCTAAAGAAGATGGCAATCTGAGACACATTATATCACACCTGACTTGAACTAACAGCCACGCAGTATATATAGATTAAATAGGTAGGTTCAATATATGCTACCCCCGATACAGTTGTGGCCACCGTTTGTCCTCTTTTTTGCGAAAAGCAATTTGTGAAATTAATTTAAATACATAATAACAAGCGTAATTTGTGTTACTCAGGCTTCTCAGCGTATTACCTACTATATTTTTACCTGTTCTCGGTGCTTGCTTAAGCTTGGTTTGCTATACACTATGCAAAAACATACTCAACAACGAATGAAAGAAATTTCGCCTTAGCAGCGTATCGTGTCGAATTTAGTCTATTTTAACCTAATTTCCAGCCTACCGAAGGATTTCAACAAGTATATAGGAGTTCGGTTACCCAGTCAAATTGGGATCATTTGCCAAAGATACCATTTTCGTAATAGATCTGGCTTGAAAGAATATATGCTTACGCAAACTTATCGGATGGAATAAGTGTAGGGCCGCAGTTCCTTGATATAAGCTAAGAAAAGTTGAAAAGCCCTGTCCTGTATCTAACAGATAATTCTCTTCCGACTATCGGTTATTCCTACCGTCTACTGCATAGGACATGTGCACAGACACAAGATATAGACAATATTTTTGCTAAATAAGCGCGTATTTTTTCTCCTAGCCGTTAGTGATGTCCTAATTTTACAAATCCCAATGAAAACCCTTCGACAGCGATGTTCACGTAACGTTATCTCTTAGAGCGGACGTGAAACTCGTTCATGCGACCAATACGTCATTGGCGTCGTTCCCGTCTCTACCAAGCTACTAGGTTGAATATTAGTATCATCCATCACTCTTCTTATCTTTGAGATAACTATAGTATTTTTCCGTTATCCTAAGCACTTCAGAAACAGCGCAGCCTTCTATAAATATTATCGCATAACAGATTAGAACAGCATGAAAACTTCACAGCAACAAAGCTAAAACATGAACAGGAAATTGCTTCTCATTATACCATTGACTAAATTGGGAAATGATGATTTGCATACAACAGTGCAAACGTGAAAAATTTAGATCAGCTGACGCTTTTGAAGGACGTCAAGTGGATCTGAAAAAGTGTCGTTACTTACGCGCTACTCCGGATAAAATTATATAGGTTCAGGAGCATTGTTCCATGTTCTAGGAACTCCTCAGCTTTCGATCAGCTGCTTTCGACGGAAAATAATAGGCCATAACGCCTTATGTTCTCAGATTTAGTACATCCTACGTATGCGAGATACTGGCCTACATGACGCAACGCTGATACGTTGACAAGAGTCATAACTACGCGTAATATTACATAAAGAACGCGCAAAATGGAGAAAACGCTACCTGAAGGTGTACCTACCTAACTTGATTGATGTCGACCTATTACTCAATGTAAGCCCATTGCCGAATAGAGGTTCTCTTTCATTCGTTAGAATTAGTCGTTAGTTCCCTGTCAGAGGCTGTTTCTAGTCAAGCTGGCCTCTGAAAGGGATAGCTTTGCAAATACAGGTTGAACTTTGATTTCAGCTTACATGGGTCTCGAATTGGGTCAAACAGCACACATTTTAAATATTCAACACACAATTATTAATTTTTAAATAATTTAACAATAGAAAAACAAAAGCCAAGCGATAATTGACACGTCATTCGTTGTCCTTGTTAAAGTAGGCGAAAATATGACGTAACCTGGAAGGACGACCTTAACTTGTAGGACAAATAAGTTACTTAGACAGGTACTGGCCAGCTAAACATTCGTGCAATTGATCGAGTCAATCATTGATATCTATAACTGTGTATGTGTACGTGTCAATCTATAAAGGTGTATATCTGCAAGCCTTCAGTATAGATGCACCATCTGCATGTGGCTAATCGGCTTTCTGCTGCCAAGTGTTTGATAAAAACTCTTTTCGAGAGCCTGGCGGCTACATGATGATCATCGCCCACAAGGTTACACGACTCGTTGCAACATAGATCTCTGTCATAACTTCTCTATGCGCTTGTTTTCGTGTCGAGTCACTGATGATTGCGGTTCTATTGGGGGAAATCGTTGTTTTTGTGTACGTAACAATATGCACGCCTTGTTGATCCTCGATGTACCGTACAAGAACAAACCTCAGAGAGATTGCATTTGGCTTACTACCTGTCGATGATATTGATGATTACTGTGTGGCAAGTTTTGTCGTTCATAAGTTAAAAAAGTAAGGACCGAGTTGTTTTTATCGTAATGACGTTTCTCTTGCAGCTTGATGCTGGTAGTTACGGTGTTCATTGCTACCTCTCGAATTCCTCAAAGGTCAATACCGCCACGCGGAACCCCGGCGGCAACGTTACGTAAAATTCTGTTGACATAGTCTGCCGAGTGACCTGCTACACGGTGCGAATCTGTGAACGTTAACAAAACACAAACACAGAAGAAATGGCATCAGTCATCAATTCAACTGAGGCTGCATTCAAGCAACGCGAACTACGAACTTTGCTTTCATCAAATAAACTATTGTTCCAGAGTAAAGCATTGCGTTAACCTGTTCTACTGATAAATCAGCTTCGTTATTACATAACTACACTTTCTTCTTGCCATATAAGATTTAATATGCACACATTTGTATTGTATGGTTGTAGAAAATACGTGTACATGTTCAGCGTATTCGGGTACGTCCTTACCAGCCTCGTGAATGATCGCATCGAGTGTTTGTTTTTGCTCCTCAGGATTTACTAGGCCTTGCGCCTTCACGGTGCATAACTGCCTCATTTTCACAGTTGTCTCGAGGAGCCGTTCTGAAAGAGTTGCACATGATTATAGTTGGAAAAAAGATTTATTAATCAATAACTTGCTAATGAATTACACGATGCGGCATAATCGTGATGTCGGGGCAGTCTGAATTTAATTCAAGCTCTATTATAATACCGACTGACTGACGTAGTTTTTCATTGTTGTACCTCGTCAATGTTCGCAATTTAATTGCTGAACAAAGCTTTAGTAGACAAACATTTCTTCTTCCTTTAGAATCGCATCTTTAGTGATAAATGAACACTGGTAAGGAGAAAAAAATAAACGTAGATGATAGAACGTAACGATTCGGTGTATGAGATTTTGTAGGGGCTGCTTCTGGCTTTTGGACATCAACAACGGTTACCGAGTTACTGGGCAAAGATTTTTCCTTCTTTCCGCACTTCTCTTTGATACAAATTTATCAAACCCAGCTAGGTTAGATGTTTCCAGTATTAAGACATAAGGTAGCGACCGGCCGTTCGGCCGGCAAGTACATCGACGTTTGAAGAAGGCATCCGTTATCGTGACGGGACTAATTACTAACGAAGCGCGCCCGAATCGAAAAGGGGACTTTGTTACATCGCCCTGCTCCCCACTAATGATCGGAGATGAGCCTTTGCTTTTCGATAAAAAGTATATTTTTTAAGTTGTCCCATTGAAGACATTTATTTGGCTTGTGGTATTCCAAAATATAGATTGGACTCGGACTTATTTGAAATCGTTTAGTGCTTCAATTTAAGAAGCTAGTGAACCCGTCTGCTTATCCTTTAGCTCGGGTGTCTGATATGCTACAATATATACATCACCTTTAGCGCCGATCGATATTGGCAAGGAGCGGATGATAAATCCTGCTACTAGCTATCGAGCTTTTATAACATAGAAATCTTATATACACTTTGGTCAAAAGAATAACTGGCCACCCTAGAGGAGGATTTATTTATCATTCTAAGTTTTTAGACAACATTGTGGATTGCGCCTCGCAAGCAGAGGTACTCCTGTGGCCTATGTTCATGAGTCGAAGGTTTAAACAATGCGGCTTCACTATAATTATCTCTTTACGTTATAGTCGCACGGGTAATTTAGTGGGCCAAGACCTTAGAAAAGTATTTGCATGCCAAACCTAACGAGTCGTTGGTTGAAGTCCTCTATGTACCTAATTGAGTGTCCTGCATGTCAATACTACTGCGAATACACTCGAATGAGACACATTTACGAGGGCAACCATATTTTGTTGATAGCCGACTGAGTATAGACTCTCTTTGTTTTACGATAGGCGTCTGTTAGCGGACGGCGAGTAAACAAATCAAAAATGGCTTGATGAATATGGAGCGTTGCGGTTACTACGTTACCGACGCACCTGTATCAGTAATAAAGCGTGCGCAGTAATTGTCAATAAAACCATTAAATTGCCTTGCCTCTACGAAGACCAAATACTATATACTATAATAGAAAGAAGGTCCTGCAGCTGTTAATGTTCTTGAAAGATACTGGCTTGTACCACCGCAGTCGTCAGCAGTCAACCACTGACCCTCCTTTCAACTCGCTCAATAGAGGGTACGGAACAGCGATGGGTGAATCGTACGTAAATCCAGAAATAGTTGGAGCTTGGATGGACGGCTAATTAAGAGCAACGTCACTCATTCAGTATGGCGCGCCGCGACAGCAAAAAGCTAAAGATAAAGTCACAGAGCAGCAGTGGTCCTCAATAACGAAAATCAGTAGCTAACATGGTATTTATCTCTCTGTATGGAGCTATGAATATTGGCTGCATTGGTTCCATTTCGTCCCTTAGGAACCTTAGTCGTCATGGCGTCCTGCCTTCCCGGTTTTTTGCGGTATTGGTGGCCTTCGACGTGCAACTTTTGTCTGTCCTGCTTTCACAAACACCTTTCTACGGGTCTGCTACTTGAGCGCCAGCCCGGCGACATATTGGATCGCTTGTCTTATAAAAGATGTTTCTTTACAAATTGCAACAGCGCATGTTTTCTGTGTGTTCGCTGTGCATGCTACGGCGTTGTCTGTTATTGGACCTCCTAGATCTCATTCGTCGGAATCTTGTCTACCTAATATTGTATTTGTTCCATTTTTTTGGGTTAACAAGATGATATCTTGACAATGCTGCAACAACAATCCCAGTTTATCGACGAATAGGAGTAAGTTAATAGCAGCAAAACGACAAATTAGGCAAGACGACTACTAAAATAACAAGCTCATTACTATTAGGAGAGCAAGGTCTGTGACATACGAAATAAACTATTACCAGACAACTTCCGTCCTCTATGGCTTCGTAAGAAGCCTGCCTGGTACGTCCGCCATCGAGTTGATTATTATTACATAGAGATCATGATGCCAGAAAGTTGAACGTTTGTTGTTTTATCAAATAGCGCAATGCATCACTTGTAAATACAGAAGATGTCAAGCAATTTCTAGTATTTTCAACTAGTACAAACGGGAGTTTCCGACAACATTTACCAGTATAAAATCGTATGAAGGCGTTCAATAACAGCAGTTTCTGCATTTTCGGCCAGCTCGTACGAATCTTGTCGTTGTCCACATAAGCAGGCAGGCCGCGTTACCACAGTCCGTTGGCCACTCCCTCGCCCTTATGCCGCTCCTATGGCTGCCGCAGCTACGTTTCTGCCCACCTTTCTGCCCGGCCTACTCCCCCTCCCCTCGTCGCCTTCTCTACTGGTTGATCTACACCTATTTGCCAGGCCCCTCGCAGCATTGCTATAGCCGTAGCCTGTGGCGCTTGTAGACGACCAGTTCTACCGCCGGCCATCACTACCACCATATTAGCTACCCTCCCCCATTTCTACCCTTCCCTTTTCTATCCTCCCCTCCCCCGCCCCTTTCTCTCTGTCTTCTCTTCGTTTCTGTCTTTTTTCTTCATTCTCTTTTTCTTCCCTCCGTCGTTTCTTCGTTTCCTCCTCCCTTTGCTTAATGCTGCTGCTGCTCGCGCTAGCGAAGGACTTCTTCATGAGTTCAGCCTACGCATGCCCCTATAGAAAAAAAGGAGGCGAAAGAACGGAAGGACGCTGGCGACTTGCTGCTGCTGACGCCGCCGCCGCCGCCGTCCCAGCCGCCGCCGTGTAAGCGCTCTATCGTTCTTTCTCCGTTGGTCGATCTTTCTCGTACGATCACTGCCACATCGGCAGGAAAGTTGGTACAGCCATGTTTTCCGCGCGCTTGCTTAATATATAGTAGAAAGTACCCTTCCCAATAGGTCGACGGCGACACACATTGTTGTCTCTGTCGTAGTACGAACGCACGCTAGTACCTCGATGAAGTTCCTCGTACCTACTATGCGCACGCAATAAAAGCTCATATGGTGTATGGTATTTTGCTTCGACTTTAGTTGAGTACTGCTGCACCTAGTGGGTTGTACACTATCCAGGATGGTGCACGGCCCTTACCCTTGGCAATAGTTCGACCGCCGGGAATCGAGAGTGTCCAGTTGTGATGTGTTGCGGCTGTTGTTACTGCTACTGACCGGATCGGATGCAAGTGGAGAGGACACACCGGCGCAGCGTCCATTTCGGCCAATCAGAAACGACGATTGAGGGACAAAGCTGGCTAAGCTTAGAGCAGGAAGGCTCACAAGGAGTTTCAGTTGAGTGGGTACTGATGTGGGGTTATGTGGTACGCGATGAGGAAGCTGATTGAGGATGAATGAGGTCTTGCAGGTTTCCCAGACTCCAAAGTCTAATCGAGTTGGATTCACAATTTAGGTTTCGCTACTACATCACTAATTGTAGCAACTAGACCAGAGCTCTTCGAGCTAATCGACTATTCGACTTGCTAGCTAGAAGCTTGAATAGATGACGTTTGATATCAACATCTTTTTCATGTCATCTCAAAAAATCTAGCAATTTATGCGTTATTTGTATATAACTATATGAGGCTTAGTCTACTTACTAAGCACGATACAGTTTCTTGGCACACTCAATTCTACCACAACATATAGTATTTTACAGTCAAAGAATGGAATCTGTATAGGCATAACCAAAGCCTCAATAGGTGTACACAGTAATAGTCATTCAACGCCTAACAGTTCCAGTCTGTCGTAAAATTGCAAGTTTCCACGATACATTAGTACGCAGGTTCTTATGCTACTGTGAACTTTCTGTTCATGCACGTAATGTAGGCGCCCGCAACATAGAGCAGAGCTCGCCTACGAAGTAAATAGCAAGAATATGAATGGATGTTCAGAATCGACCGTTCGCCACCGGTAAAACATTTGCATGCTGCCAACGGCTAGGCGGGACCAGATGCTTCAGATACGGTCCGAAGTCTCTATCATGATAAGATTTGATGAGCATATTCGGTACTCTTTTTGTTAGCAAAAGTTAAGTTGAAAGCAAATTAATTTTGTATGGACGATACCACGCAGAAAACCAGCTGATTACTTCCAGTATTATCGGACAGTACGAACTTCTTTTTCGTATTTTCTCTCAATTTGATGATGGTGATACAAGAGACCGCCGTAGCGGTGCAGACGGTAGCGGGATTATGCATTTATACAAAGCGTTACCTTGCTGCCGCGAGCTTAACTTTCCTCGCGAGTCCAGCCTCATGTCCTCCTCGTGTGCACTACCGCCACCAGACTATTGCTGTTACTGATTAAAAGTATTGCGTGGCCGGCCACCTGTCCCCACAGCTCAAATATTCTAGACCCAGAACCTGTCCCTCTTTCTCCCCGCTCCCTCTTAAACTTCCGTGTTCAACGCTTTATCCACCCCCACATTTCCGGCGTGTCTGCTTTTTTGCACAACGTCCCCTTTCCTATTGAGCTGCACTAGCCATTTTGCCCTCTGTCGCCTGCTGGCGATGCCTCCACTGATGGTGGTGCGGCTACAATCGGTGCATACCCTCTTCTTTACCCTGTTCCACTATCATCCCTATTGTCACCTTCACCATACCGTTGTTGTAAGTGTCATGCACACTTTCAAGACCTTTAGTGGCTCAAGCAACTCGAAGAAAGTCCTTAAAAATTTGTTTAACT